GAAGGATTAGCATGGGATCCCCATCAGGATAGTGCGACACTATTTTTATATAGAAACAATGTGATGCCCATACATTCATCCATACGTTTCTATTCAAGCAAATGCCATTCGACATCACTAGTGGAAAATGCCATCTCGAACTGATTCATCCATGTTTTCTATGTTTTCTATATAGAACGAGGTATGCCCTCGATCGCACAAATCGCAATCGCGCTGAGTATGGAGTAGCTGAACCCTTGTTTTTTAACTGTGTAACAGCGATGAGCGCGCTGCGGAAGGACAGAACTAGGCATTACAACGTTTTACAGTGCCTCAAATCAACCAATTAGAGACCTCTAATTCAAATTCTGTATTTGTCCTATCATGGACTGGCATTGAGTGTGAACCAATCAGAGATTGCGATAGTCGCTGAAGCATGTTTAGCCAATCATGGACTAAGAAGGAATTTTGCTTCTGGTCTTGTGTGTGAAATCTACAAATCCCACTGCAAATTTAATGATGGTACAACGCTTGCGAGTTTTCCCGGTTCACTGTATCGTGCTACAGTATTTATCATCGAGCAGGACGTCGTCGATAGATGCAATAGATGTATTATTTCGGGAGCCTGCATGACAGGCACATCACATGCACATCGTCCGGCTGCTTGGCACGATGGACGGCGACGACGCCAGCCACGTTTACTTCAAGACGACAGCGGCGTGTGTGATCTGGGCTGCATCTGCCCTCGCATGCGTTGCACGTTTGTACCTACCCGTGCTTGCTGCCGCCTGCAACGAAGTGACGACGATGGTGGTTGGAGGCCTCTTCCTCGTTGGATCTGTGGCACACGTCATGCCTGATTAGGTCGAGACCGCATGCGTGACGCTCGCAGGCGTCGATTTCATGCTCTTCCCAACGGCGTATGCAATGTACGCGCTCGGGTATATGCTACTGCTGGGGCTCGAAGTCCTTGCACTCCGGCTCGATGCTCACATACGGTCGTCTGCTCTTAAGAAGGTCGCCCGACCACGTCACTCCTAGGCTTCAGGGCGAGTCCACTTGTCAAATCTGTCGCTCCGTCTTCTCAACCGTCCATGTTTGTTACCATGATGCTCTTTGGCGTGCTCTCGTTCCACGCGTTCCTTGAAGGC